CGAAAATTTGAAAAAACGAAAAATTGCAAAATTGAAAAATGCGAAACGAAAAATTGCAAATCGAAGAACTGAAAACAAAAAATTGGAACACTGAAAAACTAAAAATCGGAAAACTTAAAAATCGAAAAAGATTAATCAATCGAAAAATTGGAAAACCCAAAAATTGTAAAATTGAAAAATGGAATAAACCAAAAAATTTTGAAATCCAATAAGTAAAAAGTGAAAAAACTCTAAAATCATAAATTGGGAACACGGAAAAATTGAAATTGAAAAATCGAAAAATTGCAAAATCCAAAAATTGAAACATCAAAAGTTGGAAAAATGAAAAACTAAAAAATTTTAAAATTGAAAACTCTAAAAACTGTAGAAACAAGAAAACTAAAAAATTGAAAAATCGCAAATCGAAAAATTACAAATCGAAGAACCGAAACCGAAAAATTGAAACATTGAAAAACTAAAAATCGAGACAAATAAAAATCGAAACAAATTAATGAATGGAAAAATCTGAAAAAATTGAAAAATTGAAGAAGAATCGAATAAACGAAAAAGTTTCAAAATTCAAAAATTGAAAAATTGAAAAAATAAAGAAAATAACAACCGAAACGAAAAATTAGAAGTCTAAGAACTGAATACAAGAAAAATTGAAAAATCTGAAAATTCCAACATCAGAACTTGGAAAATCGAAAAACTGAAAAATTTGAAAAAGAAAACTCGAATTGTTGCATATCATAAAATTGAAGAAACAAAAAATCAAACATTGAAAAATTGTATAGCGAAAAATTGAAGAAATGAAAAATTAAAAAACAATAAATTGAAGAAATAAAAAATTATAAAATCGGAACATTGAAAAATGGAAAAATTGTAAAAATAAAGAATATAAAAACCAAAACGAAAAACTAAAAATGGAGTAAATGAAATAGTTTTTAAATCCAATAATTGAAAAGTTGAAACGTCCAAAAGAGGGAAAATCGAAAAACTGAAAGATTTTAAAATTGGAAACTCAAAAAATTGTTAAATCAAAAAATTGTAGAAACAAAAAAAATGAAAAATTGAAATATCAGAAATCGAAAAATTGAAGAAACGAAAAATTGCAAATCGAAAAACCGAAAACAAAAAATTGAAACATTGAAAAACGAAAAATCGTGGAACATAAAAATCGAAAAACATCAATGAATCGAAAAATTAGAAAGAATAAAAAATGAAATGAACCGGAAAATCCAAAAATTATAAAATCGAAAAATTCAAAAATTAGATATGGGGAAATTGAAAAATGAAAAAGGGGAAAATTGAAAAATCGAATAAATGAAAAAGTTTTAAAATGCACTAATTGAAAAAATGGAAAAATTCTGAAATCGTAAAATTGAAAACCGAAAAAATGGAAAAATAATTTTAGTTAGCGTTTAACCATATGATGACCCTAATATACATACAAAATTTGACCACAATCGGTCCAGTAGTTTCGGAGATTACCGATTCCCGATGGACTAAATTACTATACTTCCTTAGCTTACTCAAAGGAAGTGATAAAATTCGCAAAAATAAATTTTCTAATTTTTTTAAAAGGCTGAAAATATGTTTTATTGTACTTCAGAGGCCAGGGAGGTTCTGTGGAAGTAACTTTCAACAAATTTTTTAAATAGTAACCCCAATCCCAATTTTTTCCTTGGAATATGATATATTTTTATTAGTTAAATGGTCCTAGAAAAAGTTAGCATTTTTTTCCTTCAGTAAAAATTCTGTTAAGGTTGCAAAGACAAAAATTCGCTATGGTATCTAAAAGTGACTTAATTCATGTGTCAAATGATTATTGTTTTAACAAATCGGATTTTAGTAGAATTTTTCCCAAAAAAAATGCTTATTCAAGGTGCCAAAGTAAAAAAACTTTGTACAAAAACGTTTGATTAGAAAAATACATTTTTACTTCAAAAAGTGTTGAAGAAATTAAATTCATCTGTCCGGAGATTTCTGAAGAAAACGTGAATTAACGGAATTATGGACTATTACAGCGATTACGTACAGAATAACTTCGTGGTGCACCTTGAATGAATTCGCTCACTCGCTAGACTCGACTTGACGATGGCGTCTATTTAAATCTATACTTCCTTCTAGATATGCGGCGATGGGGGTCTTTCTGGAATCATGAGTTCCGCTTCCAGACAATGAGTCATCATCAACGCCGCATCTACCAGAAAGCTCTCGACGGCCCATAGCCATTGTAGCGGGGCGATGTATGAATATTTTTGGGTACGATCCACAAATGTTCGTGTGTCATGTGTGATTTATTTAAGAAAATGTTCTAATAACACTATCAAATTTTTGGAGGGAAGGTGATTAAAAATGTTAATTATTATCATTTAATGATTGAACTAGGATTTTTATTTTTTAGGAGTTCTTGTTTTTTCAAAAACAAGGTTGCGTTAAGTTATTGTAATGGAAATAGTGTGATCATAGAAGGAATAACCAAAACGAAAACCCCAAAATACTGTTCTCAAAGATTAGACTTGATAATTCACAAGAAAGTGTTCTACGATAATTCTCTTGTGCCAAAAGAAAAGAAGGGCGACTTTTAATTGTCATGTGGAACTGCTGCAAGTTGGAAAAAGTTCTAAAATGATTCTATCTGGAACAAGAAAAGACAGAGAATAGCCGCCTTCAGTCGGTCTTGACTTTGCAGAAAAAATAGTTGAAAATAGACGTCGGTATAAAAATATTTGCAGAATGGAATGCGACATTCTAGGACAACACTTTTTGGAAAACCAAAGAGAACCATTTCTTGAAGACATGGGACTTTACTCCGGAAATTTTCGATTATAGAGCACAGATTCATTACTTTAAAAATTTAGCAGAAAACTTTAGAAAATTTAAAATCAGCAAACGCTAATGATAGAAGAGACTAACTGAAGACGAAAAGATCTAACCCGATTTGAACAACTAAAAATGAAAGTTTAGTCCGTGTAGAAAAATGACAAAATTCGGGAACATTTTCTTTTGACAATTTAGAACAGTTTTGTTGAAATAGAGTTCTCGAGGATTTGTAGAATATGTCTTATTGTCAAGAGAATTGGTTGGCAAAGAATTGTAACAAGACTATTCAACACTGTCCTCAAACTTCTGTCCGAGAAGAAAAGAAGTTGTAGAGAATTGATGATTTCTTAAATTAGATACTGCAAACAAATCAAAAACTAGTAACTACAAGCTGTAGAACCGATAGAAAACGAAAAAGGGTTTTGGGACTGTTTCAAAATAACAGTAATACAGTGGATGGCTAAAGAATTAGGCGAATCTATTCGCAAGGAATGGAAGACTGAAATGGATACATATACAATAAATATATGTATAAACCTGTCTATATTATTTATTATTATTTACTAATATGTTGGTCAACAAGTCTGACCTATGTATAAACCAACAACGAGAAAAAAAATGACAATATGAAGAAAAAAGAATTCAAGAGGACAGGCAATTCAGTCAAAATTAGAAGAGTCCTTAATTCATTATCGCATGACATGTTGGAATTTGAAATAAGGAGTAAATAAGGCTGTAATTCTGACACTTGCGAATATTTAATTCCGTATTTATTTATTTCTAACTTAACGCTTGCAGCTTCTCTGCTAGGAAAAAGTAGCTACAAAAAAGTAGCGATCTATAGTTACGTATGCAAAAATATGTAGAACAAAATTTACTAACTACAACAAAAAAGTGGCTACCTTAGGCTAACTACAACTAGCAATTATTGTAACTAACTAGTTTAATATATTTATCTCCTATAAAAAAGCTGACGATATCACAGAAAAATTGTTAAACGAACCTGCACTGAAAAACAGGCCCTGACAAGGATGTTTTTTTTTTTTTTGTTCTGTTCCAAGACGAAGAAAGTTGTGAATAACTTTACATACATTCAGGGCATAACAATTTGACAATTTTAACTCATTATCTCCTGTATTTTAATATCGTATGACTGTCGTTATAAAATTATCCTCCTTGGCAATAGTCCAGAACCCATAATCCAGCGTCGAGTAATCGTGCAAAAATTGCGGTAAAAACACGTTCGTACACCATAAGGAACCTTGGAGACAAGTGCTATTCATTTGCATAATGAAATAAGGAGGCGGCCTAAACGTAATAATTTATTCAGGGTATTAAGGGATTAGCGTCTAAGAAAACCCGCCAGACATGGACTGGGTATAATTAGTAGGCAATTACACCACAGACGCTACATCCACCCCTGGCAGCGATGCAACTGTGCAGACCCATAGTCCTGCGGCCATCGCCGCAATTATCCTTTGAAATGATTGAACTAAACCGGAGCTATCAACGTAACACAATTCTCACAACTCGATATCCGGTCTAGTCGCTCACACGGAATCGCTCCATCCTGACCGGAACTTCCGCCAAACAACGAATCGTAAAACCGATCTCCTGATTTTGAGACTTCGTCAAACGCTGCAAATATCAAAGTTTAGAAGAAGTGAATTTAAAGCAATTGTGTTTCTAAAATGGCTGCATTTAACACAGTTCTTGAATTAAAACACAAACAGGGATATAATTTATCTGCTCTAGAGGTTACTGTCATCATGGAACTTTCTGAGGGATGCAGGTGTGATAATTGCTTTCAGCCAATAGCTCTGTTACTCAACTTCAGATATATTCAAAAGGATTTGATGCGTTGCAAAATGTTATTTTGAGTACTTTTCTTTTTTGAGTTTTGAGGTCTTCGGTAGAGGAAAACACATCATTCTTTAACCTATATGAACTTCACGAATTAACTGGTCGAGTGTTAATTTCGTTGATGATGTCAACACTGCTTATCACCTTTTCTATGTATTTTAGTCACGACCTTTTCAAACCTGACGGCTGACACAATTCATAAACTTGACAGCTTTTCTCAAGAAACTTTAATTTGCTAATGTTGATTACCAACCAAATTACTAGATTTCCATGGTTTGCTAGGGTCTAAAAAGATCGCGAATGCATAACAACGAGTACACTAGTGACGAGTTGGCTTTTGGAAATAATGTCATCATTTTGCACAAATTAGTATAACGCAAGTAACACTTAGTTTTAGTGTAGTTTTAGCAAAGTGCTTTCTTAAAGCATTTACTTATGGCTAATGCAGCGTCTTAATTCGTCTACCTTTCCAGCTACAAGTAGTTCGTTTACCAACACAGTAAGAATAAAATTATTATATTTACCTAATGATATAAGTGATTTTCCTTTAAGCATGGTACGGTATAGTTTCCATATTTGAAACAATGTTGTATTTCTATGGGATTATCACACTCGATCGGTTCTTCCTCCTGAGCGAGACAAAGTATTGCAACCAAAATAAATCGCAGAGGACCACAACTAGTTTCATTGCAGAGGCACACGATTTTACTTAGATTCTCAGCAGACGATATAATATTTATTTATAATTTAGTAGAAATTGGAATGAAAAAGTTACTGAATTACATGGAATGTCAATATCTGTCGAGAAATTTGCAATAAATGAGTATTCTAGATAGTGTATGTGTTTTTTCTATCTCAGGCTTGCATCACTTTTTGCGACACACCTCTAATGGCCAGAAATAAAAAACAGGATTCACGGTGGGGTAAAAGTAACTGGAACAAATGCTATAATCGTAAGACGGGATAAAAACAACCGACAAAGAAGTACTATCAAGTGCTTCGGGTTTTCTCAACGTTTCATGACCCTTAGAGTACGAGAAAAGTGGTCCCCATTTTCGTCTATCTGTCGTCCGTCGTGTGTGTCAATTTTTATTAGACAGATAATCTCCGAAACTACTAGACCCATAATTTTTGGAGATCCATTCTGTTCAAGTTTATATTTAATTTGGGATAGTTGTCCGCCTCTTGAACGTAGTATATGTTTAGGAGACTAAATAGTAAATAGTAGCTACTTTACGACATGTTTCGACTTTATTTTGCGTCATCATCAGGTTTTATATATGTTTAACAAACTAGTAACATGGAAATTAACACTTGAAAAAATAACAATGAATAAATTAAAATATCGGAGGTTATTAATACAAAATACATTTTTTTGTCTGTCTGTCTGCCGTCTGTCCGGATTTTTATGTTTTGTCGACGTTTCGTGACCCCTAAGTACGAAAAATTAGGACGCGCGTTTCCGTCTGCCTGTGTCAATTTTTATCAGACAGATAATCTCCGAAACTACTGAACCGATTGTTTTCAAAGCTTGTACGTACATTACAAATATCATGTAATGGTAAAACGCTCCCCAAAATTTGGCTAATTATCCCCATCACCAATGGGATGACCTCATCTCTAAAATTTACAATAATTTATATTTTTTTACTTTTATAAAATAAGATACTATACACTTGTGGTGTATGAATCCGTCTTGAGTTTTTACAATAGACCTCCAGATTTTTGGAAAAAAATCAAAATTTTATAACAACATATTGCAATTTAACTTTGAAAATACAAAACCGAATGCTCTGAAATCTTGCAGACGTTTTAAGGTTATCGTAATGATGGCAAATCGTTACAATTTTATTCGTTTATCCCCTCCCAAAAATTGATGACGTCATCTCAAAATTTTCTCAAATAGGTATGTATATAATTCCAATTGAAAATGTCCAAAACATGTTGGGCCAATACTTGTGATTTATCATTTCATTACTAGTTTTTAGAATTGCTTATACAGGGTGTCTCAATCAAAAAAATTAATCAATGAGTCAATTTGTTTTTCTGATTAAATCCGCAACTGCAAAACCAAATCTAAAGTTATTGTAAGCATGGTAAATTTGTAATCGAAATATATCTATTTATCCCCTTCAAAAAATTGATGACGTCATCCCAAAATTTTTATTTTATTCTTGTTTCCATTGTTCTTCCCAAGATTTTTTTTTTTTTTAATTCCAGAGCGTAAGCTAAGGAAATACTATAATCGAATCCATCGAACGACAATCTACTTTCACATTTTCTCGATGTGTTATGAACCCTAGAGTACAAAAACATAGATCTCCCGTTTCCGTCTGTCTGACTGTTTATCTGTCCGTCCTATCTAAAATATGCAAAATATGATGAGTCAGGGTGACTCAAAAAAATTACTGAATGAGTCAGTTCATTTTATTGATTAAACCAGGATCTGCAAAACTTAATGCTTGAAATACTGCACACTCTTTAAAATTATCATAAGCATACTATTTTTTATCAAAATATATCTGTTTATCCCGAATAAATCCTCTCGAAAATGTGCAAAACATGATGAGTCTATACTTGGGATTTACCATTCCATTCATATTTTTTAGAATTGCTTATACAGGGTGTCTCAAAAAAATTAATAAAGGAGTCGATTTATTTTATTGATTAAACTAAGAACGAGTCACTCCATTTTCCCGAAAATTTGGGAATGCACTTAATACCGTTATTATATTATTAGTATTGCACTACACCTATCCAAATTGATGACGTCATCATGAAAGTTTGTAAAGGAAAAACTCATTTGAAACATATCCGTAGCACGCGTCTTTACATTTACTTTAGCATTGAATACATATTTTTATTTTAAATTCTAGGATTCTCATGAAAATAATAAAATCCGCAAAACCAAATTTTTCCAAAAAGCTGGATATTTTTTAATGTATTTTAGGGACTATGTAAGTTCTGTCGAAATAACCTTAGACCAATTTTTAATTCTCTATAAAAAAAGGAAACTAAACTTTTTTCAACTGCTTATTTAATAATTCTTTGAAAAGTTGTTATCGAATTTTTGGTGAAGATTAAAAAATTGCGTAAAAACGGTGTGTAGGACGAAGACAGAAACAGAAACATACCAGATGTCGCAGTTGTTACAGTTTTACAACTTGCCAAAATTAAAAGAACTCTACTGTAGGAATGCCGTGTTGAAATTCAGGTTTAGCTCTGCTTCTCGAACAAACACCGTTTCACTACTTGAATTTTTCGCAAATTAAGAAAAATGTTACATTATTTTGGATCATTTATTGATATTTTTAATCAGGACAAAGGTTTTGGTTTGGTTATTGCGTTTTCTATGTCTTGATCGGTTATTAAAATCGGCGTAGGGAAAACTCCACAATTTATTTCTTAATAACTCGAATTTGCACGACTAATTACACAGCGATTATGTACAAAATAATTCCGACGCAACTTGACTTACTCTTCTCGACTGAATGGATTTAACTACACTCAACTTCTCCCATTGTCAGGACGTCACTTGTTGGTTGAGACTGCCTCATTTCCGAAGGTGGCCTCTATTTAAATAAACCCATACATTAACTTTTAGATGTTTTGCCATCGAGGTCTTTCTGGAATACCCATCGCGACTTCCGCTTGCAGGCTTTTCTTTAGCGAACGCCACTCGGCTGCCGTCACCGACCCATCATTGCCGTGCATACTAGAAAGCTCTCGATCGCCCATAGACGTCCTACCAGTGTGCCGTATGGGTTTATTTCGTAACAATCTGTTTTTTTTTTTGCAAAAAAAATTATAAACAATTTTTAAAAAATGTTCCCATCAGAATATGAAGACTATTTTTCGGATGTTTTTGTGAAAATGTAAATACTTGAAACCATCAGTACAGTTCCACCGGAACAACACCCTCCGGTTTCAATAATGAAAATGTTGAACAAAAGAAATTTGTAGTAATTGCTGTAAGATTAATAAAGTTTCTCGTAATTTTTTAAATTAATATAAATATTGATTTTTATTTTATACTGACCTGTAATTGGTTGACATATTTAATTAAGTATTATAGGGACAATAGTTGAATCTAAAAATAAAATTTCATAAAAATAATCGAAAGTTACATAAATTTTACGCCAAAATATCAAGCAATCGACGATTTCTTAGACATCATTAGAGATCACCCACAAGTCAAATTTCTCAAGTTAAGACCCCTAAAAAATTATGTTTTCTATAAGAAAAGCTGGGTAATTTAAAAATTGTAGCCCAAAAGCTTTTCAGTCCTTGATCTATATTCAATTTTCACGATTGAAATAATTCCGTGTCACATTACATTGTAAAATGAGGTTAAATTTGATCAGATTTAGTGAGACTTATTTTTCCCCCGAGGAATGCAATGAAAAATATTACGTACCTCTTTCTAGCGTCGTAACACAATTCTCGCAACTCGATATCGGAATCGCTCCATCCTGACCGGAACTTCCGCCAAACAACGAATCGTAAAACTGATCTCCAAGTTCCCGAACTTTGTCAGATGCTGCCTATATCAAACTTTACAGGGTTAAATTAAAAAAGGCCCGTCTTTTACATTTTTATTTACGATAAAAAAGGAGTTTGGCCGATTAGAGCGCCCTTGAACGCGCATTGACACGGGATAGCCGCTATAAAACTCAAAACAGACTTTCTTTCAATAGAGGGAAACGATAAAACACCAGCGAGTCTCATCTATGCATTTCAAATGTTGCGATAAAAATATAGAAAGAAGTGTGGGGCGGAGAAAATAATCTGCTAGATTTACGGGTTTAACATAAAAATGAATGTTGCGAGGTCCGCTTAAAAAATCTTGTGTGGAGCACAAAGTTGTGGATAATCCTCGGTTTGCTAACTTGCTCACATACATTCCTATTTATTTTTATTTTTATGTCGGCGTGTTATTGTGATTTCTTATTTCGTATAAAACAAGATATTTCGAGAAAATATTTTCTTGTTTTCCTTATTTGTTTATCACGTTGTAACATACGATATTTTTAAATTGGTAAAGTTTTTGTGTAAAAGTACCCTTATATGATAACAGAACACCGCAGTTACGTACCACGTTCGTAGCACTCGCTTAAACCTTCATTAGATGCGGAATTTATTTTGTTAAGCGCCAGTTAATACACACAACTAATTCTGGTAAGTTGAAAATGTAATTTATTCACAAGAATTTTCCAACATACAAGAAACTAAAACGTTATACAGGGTCGGTTAAATATATGGAAACGGTTAAATATCTTGACAATCAATTGTACAAATCAACGAGAGAATTTAAAAATAGCATAAATGTTATTTTCTGTCTTCGGCTTTCTGAAATTAGGGGTAATTGTGATTGCCAACGTTTACGATTCCTATACAATCATATCAGTTAAACAGAAACGGTTCCATTCGTTAATCTCGGTAGTAAGGATAAGTGAACAAAATGCAATGCTCACTCAAGAATTCTGCAGACTCGAATAAAATACCCGCTATTAGAAAACTCCTCTGTACTGCTGCTGCAATTACTCCGTCGCCATTACTGAACAATTTACCGGAATTGAACCGCAGTTCACGAGAACTATTCCTATCGTCTGAACCAAGTCTGCCAGAAACACGTATCATTATAACACGTACAAATGTGTCTCAGAATTATACTGAAACCGTACGAAGGTAGATAACAATTACCTGCAGGCTTCACGAACTTGCCAGAACAGACTCGCTACTGTGAAATAAATGCAGACTTGGAGCTATTACAAAAAATTGTAGAAATTGTTCTTCATCTTGCTCTCCTGCGAATACATGAAACGTGTTTCAA